AAAAAAAAAAAAAAAAAGGTAGGGTAGGTACGATTCCCTTCGTCTCAAAAGGAAGGAGATTTCTCTGACTTTCGACCCTCTCATTATCATACTGGAAGATACACCGCCCAACTCTGCCGTTCCCACTCCAGCGAAGCCCAAGCTGGTGGCTCTGACGGCAGTTGATTTGTTCAACGCCGACGGGTCATCAAATAGGGTAATTGGCCAGTCCAACGAGGTGCTGTAGGCGGGATTGGACCTAGCCAGGGAGCAGGCGGGTCAGCTCGAGAACGTCATAGAGGTGTAATCCCGCTTGTCCCCACTGTTAAAGAGCGTAGAACGAAGAGAAGGAGGAAGTGGCCAAGGACCACGGCGTCTCAGCCCTTCAGTGGCACGGAAGACGGAGTTGGTGGTGATCGGGCCACTCAAGGAGAGTTAACGGTACGCTGCGGTCATTAAGACCTGGATGGCTGCCGTTAACCTCAAAGCCCTGGTGACCAGGAGGACCCGAACGGGAGCCGTCCTTTTGGAAGTTCGGGGCTCGGGCGCCCAGGCTAACAGCCTGAATGGCATACTGAAGGAGCATGACGTGCGGGTCCATCGTCCGGTGATGACCGTGCCAGTCATGCTCCTTGACGTGGAGGAATGGATGGAGAAGGGCGACGTGCAGAGCGCACTACTGGACGCCCTCCATTGTCTAGAGGACAAGGTGCCACCGGAAATCGGGCCCGTGCGAACTCCGGTGGCAAAGAGCGGCACGTCCGGGTGAAGGTGACAGCAGGGCTGTCAGGTCTCGCCCGTGACCGTATCAGTTGGTTCACCTGTCGGCTGAGGATCCTTGGAGACAAAGGTCCCAGGTGCTACAACTGCTTAGAGCACGGGCATGTTGTGTAGCCTTGCAGGGGCCCGGACAAATCTAAGGGGTGCTTTGCCTGCCTTGAAGGCCCCAAAGACAAATGGGAGGCCTAGTAAAGAAGACGGGAGGAAAGGCCGAGATTCTTTTAACGAATCTCAACCACTGTTGGGCTGCCCAGGACCTGGTCCGGCGAGCGGCATACGAGATGGACACCGCCCAGATAACATAGAAATATTGCTGCAATGTTAAATTAACGTTACAATAGTAATGTGCAATATATTAATAAAACATTAATATTTGATTGTCAGACATTAAATAAACGTTTAAATAACGTTGTATAAATGTTTTGTGAACTAAAAGTTCATATTTATATAACATTGCAACCTTAACATTAAGTTAACATTGCAACCTTAACATTAAATTAACGTATTAAATTTAACATTAAAAGGAATTTAAGATCATTGGACAAATATCTATATAATACTCCAAAATTATGGCTGTTGCCATGCATGAGCATATGAGAATATGTGCAGTTTTTACAACAGGCATATTATTAAAATTTTTGTGGCACATTTAATATAAGTAGTTTTTAACCGGTAATCAAATGATAAATTATATTAAATATAATAGGTGTCTAACTCTTCTTCCCTTTTACTATCACAATATGTAGTATATTATGTATATTTCTCTTTTTAACACGCTTATATTAGTTTCACCTGTATGTATGTATGTTTGTAACTCTCCAAACGCCACGCGTTATCGCATATTCCGTCGTCTAAACTAGACTGTCATAACGCATTCACCCCTCCCCAAACCACGCTCACCACACGACGGCACACTATTCCTATAAAAATTTATTTTTAGTTATCGTACCCGTACACGCGTGCTTGTCATCAATATTATATATATATATAAACAAATTTTTATTTTGACTGACCAAACCGCCCGCGTCTAATGCGCCTTACGTATATATATTTATATATTCCTACCACCGTTTATACCTCAGGTGTAATGTTAGTCCGACCCGCCCGCCCGCTTAATACGGTTATACCTAGTGCATGATACGTTTACGTACNTAATATATTAACACGATTTATTCTAATTAAGAGATATAAAGTATTCATTCCGATTACGAGGGATGATTTCCGTATCGTCATTTTTCGTCACTACCTCCACGTTCCGGGAGTGAGTAATTTACGCGCCTGCTGCTTTCCTTGGATGTGGTAGCCGTTTCTCAGACTCCCTCCCCGGAATCGAACCCTGATTTCCCGTTACCCGTAATAACCATGATATTGATAGTATCTACTATCATAACATGAAACTAAAAAGTAAAAAATAAATATAGTTTAAAAAAACTAAAAAACACGCTTTTAAAGTACATCGAACTAAAAAGTTAAAAATAATTTTTAAAATAATTATGAACAAAAAATACTAGTATTATTGTGATAAAAGCGTCGGGCGCTCAATATACGAAAAATATGGCACAAAGCACCCACGCTTTTATCACAATAATACTAGTATTTTTTGTTCATAATTATTTTAAAAATTATTTTTAACTTTTTAGTTCGATGTGCTTTAAAAGCGTGTTTTTTTTAGTTTTTTAAACTATATTTATTTTCTAACCTTATTTCATCAAATCACTGGTTTCGTAGAATGAGAAAAGGGGTTAAATTTATTTTCGTTTGTGGGACGTTACTATAATAATATAACTGTAAGAACGTATTATGCAGTAAAAATTATAATTATAGTAATTACTAAAAAAAACATATCTTAAGAAACAGAATAAGTTTATATACCAAATATTATTCATCTGACACGACTTACGTCGCAAAAATGTGGTCGACACTAGTTTTAAGGGTAGAGACTCGTGGCTGTTAATTAAATGAGCGACAACAGGTTATTTTAACAAAAAATAAAACAAACCGAAAAGATAAACATAATAATAATAATCTTCACATAATATCAAGGCACTTTCGCTGGCGTCGACGACGCGATGTCTGGTGTGATCCTCAGGCGTCAAAAGGTTAGCAGTGTTGTAGGCGACGGTGCGCGGGTGCGGATCGGTTGGTCGACGTTGTCGCTTTCACAACGGGAAGAAGACTCTCGCAACATTTGCGACGGGTCGTCGTCGGCCGTGCGGCATTTGCTGGACTTTGCACCGTAGCGAATAGCACGCGGTGTTGGTCAGTCAAATACTCATAGTTTTAAAAAGATTTCTATATCAAATGTTAAAAAGTAATAAAAATGTCATGAATGATTAATAAAAAAGTATTGTATTATATTAATAAGTTATAATATATTATATATTAATATATTAATATATTTTAAAAATTATTATATTTTAAAAAAAAACACTTTCGTTACACTAAGAGTACAATTTTAAATTAATTAATGAAAATTCGAAGAATCATGTATAATTCTTAGAAAATAAAAGAATATATCTATGATGACATAAATCTTGTATCATATATCACTTGTAGTTTTATCGGGAAAGAGATCACTCCTGAGAAACTATTTAAATAAAAATGTTTTACTTTAATATATTTTACTAATAAAATAGTATTCAATAAGTATATAAACATATAAAAATTGTAATTAATTGATTACTATTATTTATATTATTAATTGAACTTACAATTAATGATATAGGTAGGTGTAATAAATTACACCTACATATATCAGAATGCATACCTAATTTTTTTATATGATCTCTTCAACCTAAAAGGCGCTTGAGTTAAATATATTTTTATTTTGTCTTCAACCTCTTGTAGACAATTTTCTTATTTTGGAATTTTGACAATAGAGTCTAGAATAAAATTAGCATACTAGTTAAAAAAAAAAATTTTTTTTTACTTAAAATAATATCATAATAAATAATAACGTTAATAACAATTTTGATCATCATTCTAAAATAAAGAAAACTGTTAAAATATTTGTATTAAAAAGTCAGACAAGTTATTGCTTACCAAATACAACCTTACAAATTGGTAACTGGCTAAAATTTTTTTTCCCTTTTATACCTTAGCCAACATATGAGTAATGCTGCAATACTTTATCACTGAATAGTTTAGTCATTATTCGTTTTAATATTTTTCTTACATTACCTCCACCCAATAATTGAAAGTTCTTTAATCTAGTATGTAACAAAAAATCAATAAATTAACTCTTTAAAAAATTTAATTAAATTTTTTTAGAAAAACTATTTAACCATATTAATTTACAGAAAAAATTAAATTATCAAGTTAAAAATTATTATTATTATTCAATAATAATCATCAGAGTATTTCTTAAGCACATCTTATTAATAACACTTAATACTCAATCCAGATTTCAAAAATTAATATGAAAAAAACATTTACAGTCATATGTGTAATATGTGTACAGTATAATGTGTATTTCTATTATTTTATAAAGCTAAAATGAAAAAGTATTAGAAGAAGTATTTTCATTTTTATCGGAGTTTGAATAGCATCAATAATATTCGAGTCTGATTTAAGTGCAGAGAAGAAATATTGATGTGACAACGTTCCTAAAAATATAAATATTTCATATACTACACAGTATAATTATAACATATAATAATGAAAAAAATTTTTATTTATATTAATTATATTCATATAAAATGAATATTTTTTAAAACTTTTTACTACTTTCTATTATCTCCCGGCGAATTCAATTTTTACTCATAGTTATAACTATTATTATTATTATTATTATTATTAATTATCAGATATAGCAGTAAAAAAAAAGAAAATGCAGGTAATATGAATATTTAGTAGTCATACCAGTTATATTTTGTGTATCATCTTGAGTGTTGGGAAAATCCAGTGTCTCTTGTATTTCATTACTTATTTCATTAATAGAAACTTCACTATCTGCGGCCGACGAGAAAATTTCCAATTCTTCAAGAATACGTCTTCTCTTAGAAGTTTTACTACCGTAACTCATAATTAAAGTTTACCTTGCTAATTAAACAAAGATTTAAAAACTTTATCTATTAGAGATATTATAATCAGATATTATAAATATTATTAATGTACCAATTGTTAGTATAAATGGGTAGTAGTAGTAATTAACTTATTATATCTATATAAAAATTATAAGTATACTTAATTTTTATTTAATGCCAAATGAAAATAAATTATTACTAAAATGTTAAAAATTAAACGTAGAGTTAATATTAAACGTATAATATAGAGTAAACATTATTTAAACATTACATAAATATTACATTAACAATACTAATCTTATAACATTTAAAGAATAACAAATAAATATTATAGTTTTAATATTATTTAGTAAATCTAATGTAAATGATTATACAATATTTAATATTGCAAAATGCTATGTGGGCGACGTGTGCATCATCTCAGACCCATACGCCGGATTGATCCGGGACTCTACCGATTGGTTTTTGTTAGCCCGCGAGAGGCTAAAATGTTGGTTTTCATGTAAAGGGTTCTCCTTTAGAGGCCCTCCTTGATGTACCTATCAATAAGTTTCTCCATAATCTTAAGAAGAAAAGAAGTAAGACTGATTGGTCTGTAGGATTTTGCTTCATAATAGTTAGTGCGGTTAGGTTTGGGTATAAACACCACCCTAACCTTACGCTAACTTTCCTGTTGATAACCATAGGCAAGGCATGCCCTAAATATTTTGCAGAGATGGGGGACGATTATCTCTAACCCTTCTTGCAGAAGTGCAGGGAAAATTTCGTCACAGCCTGCAGCTTTAAAACTGCCAAAGGCTTTTATTGCCCATCTTATTCCACTTGGGGTTATCACTTTCCTGGTTAGTCTCCAATCAGCACAGGTCACACGTTTGTCCTGTGCATCATGTTCCTGTTCTCTGTTGTTAATTGCAGAATCAGAAAAATGTGTGTTCATCAAATGTGATAATGTTTCATTATCGTTATTGGTAAACATTCCTTCTGGCAGTAGTATTGCCTCAACAGTTTTGTTTGGTCCATTCCTCAGTGATCGCAGAAGTCTAGTTGATATAGGGAGTTGTTGTATATCCCCACAGAACTTCTTTCAGCTTTCTCTTTTGGACTTTTTCAATGCAGATTTGTAGTTCCTTTGAGCGTCCTTATAGGATTCTNTAGTTCCTTTGGGCGTCCTTATAGGATTCCCAGTGTTGTTCCAAACCTGATTTCATTGCTTTATTTAAGAGCTTACGTGAACTCTTTCTTAATTTAGACAGGTTAGCATTCCACCAAGCTACACCCTGTCCTGTACCTTCCCTTTCTATTAAAGGACAGTTTTCTTTGTAAGCTGAGACAATGGAGTCCTGTAGTATATTTACAGCCCTTTCAGTACTCTGTCTAAATTGTAAATTGTAAATCTAAATTGTAGGTTATTCAGGTCACGAGAAAGTCCTGCCCTGTAATTGTCCCAGTTTGTTCTTTTCGGGTTCCTATAGTACTCTGTCTTAACTTTGTTAATTTCCAAAGTAAATCGTAAGTGCCTATGATCACAATGAGAAAGTTCGGAGGACACTTTCCACCCTTTTATCTTTTGAAGTAACCCTTTTGAGCAAACTGACAGATCAATGACTTCCTGCCTGTTCCTGATTAAAAAGTTATGTTCGCTACCTCTATTCAGTATACTGTGGTCTGTAGTCAGCAATAGATTCATTATTACCTCTCCTCTTTGGTTGATGTTACTACTCTCCCAAATAGTGTGGTGTGCATTGGCATCCATACCTAGGATTAGTTCTAATTTTTCATTTTTGCAATAATTAAAGAGCATAGTTAGGTCTGTCTACCTGGGTCTGTAACCTCATATGGTAGGTATCCTGAAGCTACTATAATATTTTTACCATCATTTAGTGTTACTTTAATAATAGTCAAGTCTGCACTTGATAGATTAAATATCAAGCTGGCTTTAACTTTATTATTAACCAAAATGCAAGTTCTTGGTTTATTGCTTGTTTATGAAACAGTTTAAAATTCCTTAGATTTAGCCCCTTAATCTGGTCACCATTTATCCATGGTTTCTGAATAAGTGCTATTTGTAAGGATGTTGTATGCCTCTCAGTTAGGGTCCTTAGTAACACGCTACTGGCCCCCTTACTATGATGCAGGTTTATCTGAGTGAATTGAATTCTATTGTCTAAGGGTCTAAGTTTTATACTAATACAATATCATACTGTTATTTTTTTTTTTACAGTATTCTATAATTTTTTTTTAAATCTATCTTTCAAATACGATTGATATTATTAAATTTTAACTATTAAATTATCTACTAATTTTTAATCATTATATATCATAAATACTAAATTTATTAATTCACTTTTAATTATACAATTATTCTTATTATATTTAATCAATTTTTTATCTATGATAAACGATAGTAGCGAGGGCATAATAACACTTAGAAAAATTAGGGCGGATGTCGTAATATGCCCAATGCTATGCATTATGCAACTTACATTTATCAATGAAAAATTTATAATTAGTATTTTATAATACTTGTAAACAAACAAATAACATATTTGTCATAAAATGTACACTGTTCAACACAATTACTTATTATTTTATATATATGTCTATTTATCAATTGTTAAATATGCTATCTCAATATAATAACCATGTAATGTATAATTAAATACAATAAACTAAAAGATCACTAAAAGCTCTGACAACAATATCCCTGGATTGGGGGTACTATCATTTTACTATAAAAAGCACTGAAATCCTTTCAGACTTTAGGAGCGAGAGAGTGACGAGAGTTTGCTTTCACTGAATTCAAATAAGAATAAAAAAGAATCAATTATCAGTCACAGCCCTGTGTTGTTGTCGGCTGACTTTTACGCGTTTTATTTATATATGAAAAGAACTTGTTTTAATTATTTATCTTGTGACGAAGTGCGAATTAAATACTTCTAAGCATATATAAACATATCGAGATATTTATCAAATCATTTTATAGCAATTATTTGGAGTTAATAAGTTTGAGTAAAGGATGACAAAGCAATAGATCATTTATTAAATTAATATTTTAAAGTGTCAATTTTGACTGGTTGGTTAAAAAAAATTATAAATAATCACGTTATATGGTATTCGTGGACTGGCTCTGCCGTCTCGTTGTCTCTTAGTTAGGACATTAGAAACTAACCAGACAAAAGTTTATTACACCTCAATTAGAGGTACTGCGTTATTATTTTTTATATCTACTTGTCTTTGTCGTTCTAAACCCTCAAACCATACAACCCCAATAGAACCACAACATCAGGTTCTCATCATATACAAGTTTGAATAGTAATGTTATAAAATTGATTTATTCTATATTTGAAAAATTTCAAATTAAAAAGGTTTTGGATGTCAAATAATCAGAATGAGAAAGTCTACTTATAAAACACCTCTAAAAAACGTTTTAGTATAAATGAGTGGATAAAGCTCCAATAATTTCGTTTAATACCAAATAAATAATAAAGGCATTTTTTTACTGCAAAAGTATGTAAATTTAATAAAAGTTTGGAATTAAAAATTTAATTTATAATTGTAAATAATTTATTGAAGTTTGTTTTAAAAAATACGTTTCACAACTCCAAAAACCTTTCCTCATTTTCACTATCTACATGACCATTGTTTTGATAACCATGTGTTTTGAAAGATTCACAAAATTGTAAACATGATAAAATACTTAATATGCTTATACTTTTGAATGATTTATCTAAGAAATACGTAAATAAAAATATTCTTACAATATTATCATTCATTCCTTTAGAATCTGAAGTTGACCATAAATATTCAATATTTTTGAGGGTTTCATTTTCACCCAACTCATTTCTTAAAATATACATTTTAGTTTCAAGATTGATTTTCGATTCATAGTCTGAGTCATTAATTCTATCATTTGAAATGAATTTAAAAAAGTTGGGTTTTATTTTATCTATTACGCGTTCGATATTTAAAATCAAAACACCATGATAATATCTAAGATTTTGATCATCTGAGGGTAAATCTGTGAGAGATTTGAAAATTTTTTGAAAATCATGAGCTTCTTCGCCATTAAATAACTTAGTCGTATATTGAAATAAATTTGCTATTTTCTCTATTAAAAATTTTGCAGTATATATTTTTTCATTGTCTAACATTAAAGAACTGTAGATAAAGTGTTTTTTCATTAAATTCATTAAAACAGTTTTAAAAACGTTTAAGACTTTTCGTTGATATACTCCAATTCGTTTTATCCATAAATCAAACATAAAATAATTCTTTGCTTCTTTGTATGCTTCATGTATGTCATTATAAATAGCATCAAACGTATCTTTACTTTGTTCACCGAAATCCATTATAGCAATTCTCAATAATTCTTTGTTTTCAATTATGTCGCACATATAAATACTTCTGAGTGAGAATGCACTTTCGTCTTTGTCTGTAATTTCCAATACATTTTTGTTAATTTCTTTTCTTTGATTCATAACATCTATAAGGTTCATGAGAGTTGAATATTTTTCCGAAATATCTAAAGGAGTATCTGGTACGTCATACTTATTATTATATCTACACATCATTAAAGAAAAAAATAGTAACATTGAGCAAAGGGTTTGGTGAACTTCTACAATATTATATGGACATTGATGTATTTCATTACCAAACAATCGAATATAAGAAGTATAAAAATGCATTGCCCAAAAACCGTCAAATATTGTTGTTGAATTGTATTTATACATATTAACTAAAATTTGTTTTATAATTGATTCGTTTAAAATAATTCTGTTTATATCATATGTTTGTCCAGACGGAAAATTAATGAAAAAATAAAAAAGATTCAAATATTGAAAAAGATTGAATGTATTACCACAAATGAGATCCAACTGTATAAAGTGATTTTTTGTTTTCAATAAACTCGAAATACCTCTTAATGATGTGTCTCCTGCGAAGATTTTTTTTTTGAAATCTTCCATGGATAAATGGCATAGATCCTCATAGCT